ATAGAGGATTTGGACAATAGAGGCAGGAGAAACAACCTCAGGATAAGGGGTTTCCCTGAAACACAGCAGGGGGAGACAGAAGATATCATACTCCTACTCACTGGCCTCTTTAACAAGATACTGGGCAGGCCTCTTGACACAGTCATTAAATTTGACCGCGCACATAGGGCGCTTAGACCTCGGGCACTGCCCCAGGACAAACCGAGGGATATTATCTGTAAAATCCACCACTTCCCACTTAAAGAAGCAATCCTGCAAAAAGCTAAGCACCTCAGAGAAATCAAACATGACGACCATAAAGTGCTGATTTTCCAAGACTTGGCACAATCGACCCTCATAGCGAGGAGAGCACTCAGACCCATAACAGCAGCCCTTTCGGACATGAACATTAGATACAGATGGGCATATCCCTTTGCTCTTGTGGTCACTCAGCAAGGGACAACGTACTCTATCTCGACACCTGCGGAGGTCCAAGCCTTCCAGCAAGCCCTAAAACTACCAAAGGCCGCAGTGGAGGACTGGACTGGGCTAACACTGGGACAGACATCACACGCCTCTCAGAAAAATAAATGGCAAAGAACCCCGAAGAAGCGCAGAAGGCGTATCCCATCGGGCAATGAACAGACCACATCACCCAGAGGCACCACAAGCAGACCCACCTGAGGGACCCAATATATCCTTTATTATGTTAAGCAGACCTCTGAAGCACCTGGATGCTCTTTCTTATATGTTTGAAAGTTGTATGCCGTTTGTCGTGACTTGAATATTGATTATCATATTGTAGATTTAAACTGCCTTTCGTGCGGCCACCGCCTACACCCCCCTGGGGTTCGGGCCCTGGCTGCGTGAAATTAGGGGATAAAAACCCACATTTCAACCTTATAACGAGTTAGCATAAGAAAACACAGGCCACACTATAGGAAACGCTTTTAGAATGATAAATTTACCAATCAGATTACAGGCCAAGTTCTGGACAACCAAGACCCCGTAACCCCCTAGAGGTGTCGTAGAGAGCACGTAGGACTCACACAGAGCCTAGCGCGCTAGACACCATCTGGTAGATGCATGTTACCCACATGCTCATTGTACATAGCATTCCAAGTTTACATCCCCCCATACACCCCTCTGTCCCCCGAAGGTACAAGTGTAAACATTACCACCCAGAGGAGATACGCCATCACCATCACCTGACCCCCAATGGCTGACCTCAAAATAATGTCCCTAAATGTCAGGGGACTTAATACTCCAGAGAAACGTACAGTACTAACCCAAGAAATAGACAGACAACGGGCTGATGTCGTTTTTTTTACAGGAAACGCATTTAAAGGGGGACCAAACCCCTAAACTAAGGGCAAAAACAATAGGACAAGCATTCTTCAGCAACTATCATGGGGGCAAAGCGAGAGGAGTAGCCATCCTAATATCACCACGCATAGTCTTCACCCCGAGTGAAATCAAAACAGACCACTTGGGAAGATACCTATTTATCAAGGGCTCACTGAATAACACACTGGTGACACTAGCAACTATATATGCCCCAAATACCAAACAAGTATCATTTGCCAACTCATGTTTTAGGAAACTACACAAATTTGCTAATGGGATAATAGTTTTAGGGGGAGACTGGAACATGGTCCTAGACCACTCTATGGACAGCTCCACAACCAGTAAAGACACACAGAAACACCAAAGGGCTTTATTTCAAAGATCCCTCCATGCCCACCAGCTGGTGGACTGCTGGAGAATATCCCACCCACAGGAGAGGGACTATAGCTACTATTCACAGGTGGCCCATAGTTATTCCAGATTGGATATGTTCCTCTTAGAACATAGACATTTACACTTGTTAAAGGAAGCATCAATTGGCCACATCACATGGTCAGACCATGCCCCGGTGTTCCTCACACTATCCTTTACAGGAACATGCACACCCACCAACAAGTGGCGGTTAAATGAATCGCTCTTGGACGACCCAAGAGTGACTGATGACCTCAATAATTCTCTCCCTAGATACTTTCTTGAAAACAAAAACAAAGACACCGCAGACACCTGGGTATGGGAGGCACACAAAGGTATCACCCGAGGCATACTGATTAAGTGGGGTGCACGTATTAAAAAAGAACGCCAAGCAAGGATCAAATCACTCACAGAAGCGATAGCTAGAGCAGAAATGGAACATAAAACCGACCCCTCAGTGGAGGCGTATAACAAGCTAACGGCATTGAGAATGGATCTACGCAATATCCTTACGATGCAGGCACACAGAGCAGTACTTCTAACCAGGGGAACGTATTACGCACATGGTAATAGGAGTGGGAAGTTCCTGGCCAGAGCCCTAAAAGAAAAGCACCAAAAAACATACATATCCCACATAAAGGCGCAAGACGGTACACGCAAAGATAAAACCGAGGACATAGCCAAAATCTTCCGGGAATACTATAGTAATCTATATAACCTAGAGCACCAAAGAGGTCCTTCCCATGACATTAAAACATACATCTCCTCCCATATCCAAAAAACAATAGACTTACACCAGTCAACCATATTAGACTCCCACATCCAGCTGGAAGAATTGCAGCGAGCAATTAAAACACTTCCTAAGGGTAAAAGCCCGGGACCAGATGGCCTAACGGCCAGATATTACCAATCTTTCCAACACATCCTATCTCCCCACTATCTAGAAGTACTTAACAATCTACTAACCACTACCGAATTACCACCCCCGATGCTGAAAGCATCGATAACAATCCTGCCAAAACCCGGCAAGGACCAGAGCCTGTGTGGTAGTTATAGACCCATCTCCCTAATTAACCTCGATGTTAAATTACTGGCAAAAATCCTTGCCAACCGACTCAAGACACTACTGCCTGACCTGGTCCATACAGACCAAGCGGGCTTCATCCCTGGAAGGGAGGCGAGAGACAATACCACAAGACTACTCAACCTCATATATGGTGCCTCTACCACCAGGGTACCGACAATACTCCTCTCGGTGGACGCTGAAAAGGCGTTCGACCGAGTAGACTGGACCTTCCTATTCACCACCCTTGAAACCCTAGGAATCGGCCCCAATTACATACGATGGGTGAGAACACTATATAAAGGACCATCGGCCACGATTGGAGTCAATGGGCAAGACTCTCCCCCCTTTGCCATAGGTAATGGCACAAGACAAGGGTGCCCTCTGTCGCCGCTACTATTCGTTCTGGTGATGGAACCATTTCTGAACGCCATCAGGGCAAATGCCAACATTAAAGGCATCAGGGCGGGAGACCAGGAAGTAAAAGTATCTGCTTTCGCAGATGACGTACTCCTAACACTCACACACCCTGAGCGCTCCCTCCCGCATCTTCAGAGCGAAATAGAACACTTCAGTACATACTCAAATTTCAAAATAAACGCTGATAAATGCGAACTAATGGGCATCAACCTAAAACCGACCCAACTCAAACACATAAGCCACAACTATCCTTATCGATGGGCAAACACAGGCCTAACATATCTAGGCATCAAACTCGCACCCACAACGACAAGCCTCTCATAGGCGTGCGCACGGGGTGTGCCGGGTGTGCCTGGGCACACTCTAATCCCCGTGGCACGCCTATGGTTTGAGTCCTGCAGGAACAGCGTTCCTGCACTTTTTTTTGAGCAGGAACGCTGTTCCTGCAGGCACTCAGCGCCCCACTCACCTCTTGCCCCTGTCATGGGGGGGCAAGAGGTGATGGATTCCCCCCCCAACCCCCTGCTCTCCAGCTCAGCCGCGGCGAGGGAGCTGTCTGCTGTCTGCTCCCTCTCGCCGCGCGCTATTGCCGGGAGCCGGAATATGACGTCATATTCCGGCTCCCAGCTAAAGCAGACAGCCCGCGCGGCGAGAGGGAGCAGAGAGCAGACAGCTCCCTCGCCGCGGCTGAGCTGCAGAAAAGCGCCCGCCCCACTGGACCCCAGGGAAAAGTCCACGCCAGCACTCCAGGTAGGAGGCTGGGTGGACATTGTTTTTTATTAAAATATAATAATTTGTTCGTGTGTGTGTGTATGTGTGTGTGTGTGTGTCTGTGAGTGTGTGTCTGTGTGTGTGTGTGTCTGTGAGTGTGTGTGTATGTGTCTGTGTGTGAGTGTGTGTGTCTGTGAGTGTGTGTGAGTGTGAATGTGAGTGTGTCTGTGTGTGTGTGTGTGTGTGTCTGTGAATGTGTGTGTGTGTGAGTGTCTGTGTGTGAGTGTGTCTGTGTGTGCGTGTCTGTGAGTGTGTGTCTGTCTGTGTATGTGTGTGTGTGAGTGTGTGTCTGTGTGAATGTGTGTGTGTCTGTGAGTGTATGTATGTGTGTGTGTGTGTACGCATATATATATATAAATATATATATACACACACACAGAGCCGGCGCTATCTGAGTGCCGGCTCTGCTCTAAGCCTCCATGGGCCGGCGGGGAGACCAAAGATCTACCTCACCGGCCCACAGCAGCATGGAGGGAGGCAGGAGAGGACCCAGGGAGCTCTAGACAGAAGCTCCGCCAGGTTCCTCTCGCGATATCTGAGTGTTGCTGCGGCAACGCTCAGATCTCGCGAGAGTTAACTCTAGCCCTGCAGGCTAGAGTTCACTCTCCACTGGACCACCAGGGATGGCACATGGCAGCAAGGATTTACTAATCTGCCAAATCCCTCCAAACATACAGCACACACACATACAGCACCTACACACATACAGCTCACACACACACAGTACACTAACCGCACCCTCACAAACACACACAGCACCTTTAAAAAAAACACAACACCCTCACACACAGCACACTAACAGCACCTTCACAAACACACACACAAACAGCACCCTCACAAATACACGACACTCACACAAACAGCACCCTCACAGGACAAACATACACACACAAACACCCTCACACACAAACAGCACAGTCACAAACACACACACACACACAAATACCCTCACATCACACTAACAGCACCCTCACACACACATCACACTAACAGCACACACAGCAGTGTATGTGTTTGTGTGTGTGTGTATGTATCTATATATATACATATTTATATATATAGATACATACACACACACACACACACACACGGCGGGTGTTTGTGCTTTAGGGTGCACACCCTAATGCAATAGGCTGCGCACGCCTATGAAGCCTCTATAGAATGAACTACATTCCCCTATTGGATAACATTAAATCACAACTCAAACACTGGGACAAACCCCACTTTTCCCTTTTTGGAAGAGTCAACATCATTAAGATGATGATACTACCAAAAATTTTATATACATTTCAAACACTCCCCATCGAACTCGGACGCCAGTTCTTCCACATACTGAAAAACATCTTCCTTACGTTTGTTTGGGGAAATAAAAAATCCCGACTGGCATATGACATACTCACGCGGGATAAAAAGAAAGGAGGTGTCGGACTACCCCATATGTACAACTACTACATAGCAGTCCTTTTCACGAGACTCAGGGAATGGATAGATATAAAACACAAAAAAGCGTGGTACGATATAGAACAAATGCATGCACAGGCTCCTTTACCATCCCTCCCTTGGCAGACATGCCAACTTCAGCGGCTGACCACCATGACACACCCCCTTATTCCCCACATCCTAAAGAAGTGGAGATTGCACAAAAATACCTGGAAACTGTCACCGGGCATATCTCCATTATACCCGTTAAACCATAACCCGGATATATTAGGAGGCAGAGGGGCAGATACTATACTAAAACTATGGGGAATACAAAACCCACAAATAGGAGACTTGCTGACAGGAGATACACCCCCTAAAATCAAGCAACCCCAAATTACGAGAGGCCACCATTCACTCATGGAAGCAATGAGATGCGCACAACTAAGACACACTATCACTCAAGCGGTACTACCATATTGGACCCCAAGAGGTTCAACCCCCTTTGAGCAATTATGCACGACCGCAAAACCGATAAAACGCACCTTATCACAAATTTATAAACTCATCCAAACTAATGATAGGGCTCGAGAGACCCTAGCATACCAACGTAAATGGATGAAGGAACTTCACATACATATGTCACACCAGGACTGGGCATATGTCTTCACAAAACCCATGCACACCTCCAGTAGCCTATCAAGACAAGAGTCCTTCTATAAACGTATCACTAGGTGGTATAGAACCCCGGAGGTACTTCATCTATATTGGCAAACAGTTAGCGAACAATGCTGGAGGTGCGGGGGAGAGGTGGGCAGTATGGAACACCTGTGGTGGTTTTGTCCACTCATGAGACCATACTGGGCAGAAGTGACCTCCAAGATCGATGAGATCCTAAAACTACCACACTCCCTAACCCCCTCCCAAATTCTGCTAGGATGGCCACACTCCTTTCAATGTATGAAGAGCCAGCGTCTACTATGGCTCCTTCTGGGAGAAGCAAACAACCTTATACCGGTCCACTGGAAACAAAATGTACCACCCACAGCCAAACAATGGATAGAAAGGGTAGAGCACATGAGAGAAATGGAAATGCTACATTGGTCCACAATAGGCAAATACACTACATACCTAAACATATGGGAACCATGGCTAAAACACTGGGCACTAGTACAGAATAATCCACAATAGACGGAACAGTAATAACAATAAAAGATACCTTGTACCTTCCCCCCCCACCCACTTCCCATGTATATAGTACTTCCCCGCTCTCCCCACCATTCCCTACCCCCAATCTTTCTGGGGACACTAGTCACCATCCCTGCACCAAGGTTTCGTGTAATACAGAATGATGAGACAATATCAGCGGTACCAATATGCAAAGAACAATGGGGATTGATGTATATTTGTCTATATTTGTCTATTTTGACATTGCTGTATAAAATGTACGTACCACAACCGCATACCTTACCCTCCCTTCTTGCCTTCTGTATCCCCGTTATACGTTGTGAAATAACAATAAAACTCGAATTAAACAAAAAAAAAAAAAATTTGAGCAAATTGGATTGAATTTACTAGACTCCAGTGTCTTTTGTCCAACACCATAGATTTCGGAGCTGGAAGTATAATAACCTTTTGATCCTGTTGATCCATCATTGCCTCCTGTTCGAGAAGTTTTTCCATCAGTGCTTGTTCCTGCTTTTTCCTCAGTTCATTTTCCTCATCAGCGAGCTGTACAACGAAACATGTCAGTAAGTAAATGGCAAATCAGTTACTAAAGACCCTAAGATTAAAGGAAACCCATGTGTTATAAAGCATTTTTTGTGATTTATGAAAACTTATCGTCAACCTCTGCAGTGTTGTGATTTATGAAAACTATACGCACAGTCTCTGCAGTGTTTGGATTATTACATTATAGACAGTCAGTCTCAACTGTCTCTGAGGTGTTTGGATTATTACATTATAGACAGTCAGTCTCAACTGTCTCTGAGGTGTTTGGATTATTACATTATACACAGTCAGTCTCTGCAGTGTTTGGGCTATTACAGTATAGACAGTCAGTCTTTGCGGTGTTTGGAATATTACAGTATAGACAGTCAGTTTTTGCGGTGTTTGGAATATTACAGTATAGACAGTCAGTCTCTGCAGTATTTGGATTATTACATTATAGACAGTAAGTCTCTGTGGTGTTTGGATTATTACAGTATAGACAGTCAGTCTCTGCAGTGTTTGGATTATTACAGTATAGACAGTCAGTCCCTGCAGTGTTTGGATTATTACAGTATAGACAGTCAGTCCCTGCAGTGTTTGGAATATAACAGTATAGACAGTCAGTCCCTGCAGTGTTTGGAATATTACAGTATAGACAGTCAGTCTCTGCAGTGTTTGGATTATTACAGTATAGACAGTCAGTCTCTGCAGTGCTTGGATTATTACAGTATAGACAGTCAGTCTCTGCAGTGTTTGGATTATTACAGTATAGACAGTCAGTCTCTGCAGTGTTTGGATTATTACATTATAGACAGTCAGTCTCTGCGGTGTTTGGATTATTACAGTATAGACAGTCAGTCTCTGCAGTGTTTGGATTATTATAGTATAGACAGTCAGTCTCTGCAGTGTTTGGATTGTTACAGTATAGACAGTCAGTCTCTGCGGTGTTTGGATTATTACAGTATAGACAGTCAGTCTCTGCGGTGTTTGGATTATTGCAGTATAGACAGTCAGTCTCTGCGGTGTTTGGATTATTGCAGTATAGACAGTCAGTCTCTGCAGTGTTTGGATTATTACAGTATAGACAGTCAGTCTCTGCAGTGTTTGGGCTATTACAGTATAGACAGTCAGTCTCTGCAGTGTTTGGATTATTACATTATAGACAGTCAGTCTCTGCAGTGTTTGGGTTATTACATTATAGACAGTCAGTCTCTGCAGTGTTTGGATTATTACCGTATAGACAGTCAGTCTCAGCGGTGTTTGGATTATTACCGTATAGACAGTCAGTCTCAGCGGTGTTTGGATTATTACAGTATAGACAGTCAGTCTCTGCAGTGCTTGGATTATTACATTATAGACCGTCAGTCTCTGCAGTGTTTGGATTATTACAGTATAGACAGTCAGTCCCTGCAGTGTTTGGATTATTACAGTATAGACAGTCAGTCTCTGCAGTGTTTGGATTATTACAGTATAGACAGTCAGTCTCTGCAGTGCTTGGATTATTACATTATAGACCGTCAGTCTCTGCGGTGTTTGGATTATTACAGTATAGACAGTCAGCCTCTGCAGTGTTTGGATTATTACAGTATAGACAGTCAGTCTCTGCAGTGTTTGGATTATTGCAATATAGACAGTCAGTCTCTGCAGTGTTTGGATTATTACAGTATAGACAGTCAGTCCCTGCAGTGTTTGGATTATTACAGTATAGACAGTCAGCCATTGCATATATGTGTGTGTATGTATTCTATAATTTAAAAAGCAGCGCTGTATCCAACCTTGTAGGCTTTCACAAATCTGACGAAGACTGGAAAGAAAACCGATGGTGGAGTTGTTTTAGGATTCTCACCAAAATACTTCACTGCATCATCAAAGGCATCCTGGAAGAAAAACAAGTGTTATTCCAGATCAATAAAACACATTACTAACGCCTCAATTTAATAAGATATCCAAATTATTCAATACTATTAGAGAAACCTTTCAAATAATTTATCTACAAGAATTCTCATAGACTTCAGTAATGACTTCTGCAGATAAATAATTTGGAACGTTTTCTAACAGTATTGATCATTTGGAAAGCTTATTAAATCCTAAAGAAATAAACATATGTGCACTGCATTGCAATTAAATGGTGGCTATTAATTTTAAATCTTGAGGTCTTCATAGCTTTGATTACTTTGTAAACTTTGCAAATTTATATTTTGCTTGTTAATCACCCACATTTGTTTGTCTAAATCCTTGTCCCTGTGAAGAATACAACAATTCTTCTTATACAGTGACCTCCTGGCGAAGCCACGGCAAGATATATCACAGTTAGAGTCACAGTGGCATCTAAGTGACTTTACAAATATGCCAGGCCATCTAACCAATAAAAACAATGCATTGTTTCCCTGGGCTCCCAGTGGGCGGTCCTACAAACTGTATCTTAGGCTCTTCAGAAATGACAATATGTATTTGTATCTTACATCATAAAGTTGTAGAAACCACTTACCCACAAACCAACAACCAGGGGTCAAAAAACAACATTCTGCAACATTTATTCTATTCATTCTCTGCATATTATTTACTCCATTATATATAAAAATGACATCAACAGCGACTACGGTCTGTTTTTCCAATGGATTCCAGAAATGAAGGCAATGTTTCAAAAACAAGACGAAAGGGTTCAAAGCACATGTTTACATAGCAATTCACTAACATTAAGACTTACACTCACCATAGTGTGTTACATTTACATAATATGCCAATCTTTGTAATAGGAAGCATTAGTTTGGATTTCATTGTCCCAAAATGTGTATTAATGTTGATATAAGTCTACAAAATATACCTGGGCAATTTTTGCATCGTCCTGCAATTTTTTGAGTCTTCCTTCGTTGTTATGAATGAATTCTTTCAACATGATATTGTGGTCATGCATTGTAAATTCTCTCTTTGTTAAATCCATCCCCCTCTGCAACTCCT